CCGGGGGGGCAGTTCCAGGCCAGAGACTGCCGTCCCCACGGCTCAGCGGCCACGAGCCTCCTGGGAAAGGCTCCCGCAGCAGGGGAAGGGGAAGGAGAAAGAGCTTCCAGGTGTGAGAAGATACCTGGCCAAGACTCTAGAAAGCTTGTGCTCGCCAAGGCCTCGCTAGCCTGGTTTAACCTGGAGGACAGGAGCACTTGGCTGTGGAGATGCAGAGCCTCTCCAGAGAAGCGAGTCGCACATGGAGCAGGAGGTCCAGGGCGGCGGTGGCTGGGGACGGCGGTGGCTGGCCCTGGAACCTGCCCACGCAGCTTCTGCCCTTCCCCGGAGACGCTGGGTCCCTCCGCACTCAGACACAAGACTTGCACCGTATCCTTCTCCAAATGATCTGCTCCAGGCCACTGACGCCTCCCTGTCCCCAGCTGCCCGAAGCTGGCCACGCACCGTCCACACGCCGGCAGGCCTACAGCCACCTCCCAGAAAGCCTCCTCCCAAGGGATACTGCAGCATGGCTTCACCCAGAGCACAAACACCAACAATTCGCTTTTAGGAAACGTGACAGGAAGGCAGCGTCTTACCTGCTAACAGACCTTGTTCCGTAGTCATCGAGACCCTGCGGGGGAAGCAGAGGAAGCAGTGAGATGCCTGGGACATGGGCCATGCCATTTCAGATGCCACTGGAGGGTCACAAGAACAAACCAAAATGCATCGGGACCCAGAGACTTTTTGGGCTAAGGGCCGATGCATTTGAAGATGAAAGGGAATAATGGAGATGATTTAAATGGGATTTACGCCGCAGGGAGTCAAGTCACACCATTCTCTTCAGAGCAAGACTTAATCTAGCAAGACAAGGAAGAGCAACGGCTGAGCGAGCTCTGGCTTGCTCTGTCCAGCTCCACCTTCGTACAAAGATCCGGTGGCTTTCGAGACGCAAGACACACTTGGAACGGGATCAGACAGTAAGTTTGAGAAAGACCAGTGAAATGTTCTGTGGAAAAAGGTAAGTGTTTGTACTGTACTGACTCCCACCAGAAACCACACAGAGTTTTGGACCATTTTCTACTCAGCTGATACTAAATGGCATTCTGCAGAGGGGGAAGGAGGACGGCACTGCTCTGAGGAGCACGTGGGAACTGAGCTCAGAGGAGATCCAGCCAGGACATCTCTCCCTGGGCAAGGGCTTGCCCTAGGATACGGATATGGACTGAGGAACAGCTCTGCTCTCCGTGACAAACACTGAACCTTTTAAGGAAGGACCAAGAGTCCCCGGTCACTGAGCTCTCCATATCAGGGACTAAACACCCAGGTTTCTCCCTCCCAGAGAACGCTTCTAGTCATGAAGCCCCAAATCCAGCGGCAAACCCTGCCCAGAACAACTTCCTCTGGGCTCACACTAGCAAGAAGTGGGGCTGCAATGGGGATCAAGCAATGCCTCCATCTCCATTCCCCTGCAGAGCCCCCCTGCCACGGCTGCAGCCTTTCGAGAGTGCCCTGCAGAAGGGATCAGGCGCTGAGCAACCGCGTCTCCCTCTCCCTGCCCTGTCCGCTGGCACGTGCCGGTTGCGCTGGGAAAGCCAACGTCACGCTCCCCCAGGACAGCCAGCAATTCCAGCCATGCCTGTCCGGCTGGAAAGCCACATCACATCAGTGGCTACTGGGCTACCCTGGTCACGTCACCCATGGGACCATCGGAGTTCGGTGGTGCTCGTGTCCCAGGAGCTGCTGCCCCTGGCCGGGGCTGAGATGGTGACTTCCTCCACGTAAATCCGCAGGCCCAAGAGAAAAAGGTTCCAGCTCCCTGTGAACAGCTCATTTCTGGTGGGAGGCTCTCATGGGGTTGGCAAGTGTTGTCGATTGGGGGTTTACGGTGCCATTTTGTGCCGCTCTGTGTCTTGTTTGCCCTACCCAGGTTAGCCAAACTGGCCTCATTTCTCCGTTCACTTTGCCTCTCTCCCACTGTTTCCCCAGCGTCCTTCTCCCCTTACCCCTACTCCTCTGGGAGAGATGCTAAGGCGGAGACGGCCGAAAGCCCTGGGCAAGCCACAAGAATCACCAGGCAAAAACAGCAAACTGTCCATAAATCCCAATGGAAACATTGCATTTGTTTGGACTTACAGCTGTTGACCTAGTGTAAGGCTTGTAGTGAGCAGATGGTGGTTGGCAGAGGCCACTGGAATAGTCTTTAATTGCACAACCATAGCGCATAAGGTAGTCCTACAAATAACGAACATAGGCCTGTTGGAGAAGAGCCCTCATTCACGTACACGCAGCCTACATCACGGTAAGAACAGGAACACGGTTCCTTCTGCTTTAAAAATACCGGCAAGACCGAGAAGCTGCAGACACCCAGGCCACAGCACGCTGTTTCAGTAGAGACTAAAGCTCTGGGGTTTGCTCAAGCATCTCCCGTTTAAAAAATAACCCCCCAAGTGCCCCACAGAGGGGAAGCACCCACTGCAGCTGCCCTGGCAAGCAGCAGCCAGCCGCCCGCGCCCGGTCGCTCACCTGGGAGAAGGCAGGCACTGCCACGCTGTACGGTCTCTGCTTGAAGGTGTTGACGTTTTGCGATGGAAAAGCCTGCGAGGACATGCCGTAGTCTGGTGGCGGGATGGCGATATCATCTTTGTCGAGCAGGTTGCCGGTGCTGCTGCTTTTCCCTTGCTGCAGACTAAACGGAGGGGACCCAAAGCAAAGACACCAACATCAACCTCCCGTCTCCCTGCCATCCCTCTTCCATTCAGGGCCGCAGGAGAGGCAGTCCCTGTCGTCACCACCAGCCCAGGCACTGTAACAAGCCAAACTTTGCGACACGCAAATCCCACCGGGATAGAGACCTGCCCTCATCACGACGCCGGTGCCCCTGCGCCCTATGGTCAGGCAAAGCCTTTTCTTCTCTGCTCACGATGGCATTTGCCCTCAAGTAAGCTACCGCATGCCTCTGCTTTGAATTCCTAACTACGGACAGTATATTTGGGGGGAAAAAATTAAATATTCTCATTCCAAGCCAGCAAGACTGGTCTGCTCAGAGCTGAGAGAAGCACAGGGGCCTTCCTCTTACAAAGTCAGCAGCACGACTCCCCCAGGCTGGGAACCCCCCTGCACTCCGCGCTAGCACAGGGCAGCTCAGCCAGCGATGCTTTTACCTGGCATGGACCCGTTCGCTTCCATCGTTGTCAAGGACCCGTGTGTAAGAGAAAGGAAACCAGCCTCTCCTGAAAGGCAAAAGCACGGGACAGAGTCAAACTGATGTTTATTGCTGGGAGACTCAGAAAAGGTCAAAGCGAGGCTGCACAAGCACCCGTCCTGGCAGCTGGGCCAGGAGAGACAAAGCAGCAGCTTGAGCCCGCCAGGCAGGCGGTTCGTGGGCACAGAGACTGCAATGGCACTCACATTTTTGTTTTCTCACTCTCTCCATAATGCCACCCGTCCCTGGCCTCTGGCACCAGCAGCGTGATGAGGTCACCTTCCTTGAAGCTCAGGAGGGTGCTGTTATCTCCAGCAGCATGAGAGAAAATGGCCTGCACCCTCGTCCTGCCGTTCCTCTCGAGCCCTGCGGCCATGGAGCTGGAGCGTGGCAGCGTCTTGTTCTCAGCTGGCAGGAGACAAAGACCAAGAAGCGCCCCAAGACTTTAGTCCTGTAACCATACCCAAACTCAGTTTGCTACTGTGGCATTTGACATGACCAAGGGCAGGCCAGGCCCTGCCAGGCCTGGTCCCTAATACCCTAATACCTATTTATCTTACTCCAGGTACCAATAAAACCTTTAGTGCTGGCAGATAGATCAGCTTTTCATTCATGCTTTCCCCCTTACCATCTCATTTATCTGCTCCCCAGTGTCTACAGCACGTCTCCTCCCATTTCCTTGCCAACAGAAGACCCTGGCATCACCCTGATCCCCTCCTGCCCTCCACCTTTAGTACTAAGTGCTTTGTGCTTCCCACAGGGGATGCTCAGAGTCTTTGTGGTCCACTATGTGGGTCCTTCTGAATCAAAACACCTATCCTCTCATGCCTGCAATTGCAGGAGGCCTGGCCCAGCTGGTCCCTCGCAGCCCCACACTCTTGCACATCAGCTGCTGCTTGGCCAGGTCCCATCAGCCTGTCCCTGCACCAGGCCACAGGAGGACACCTCGTGTGCCTGACCCACACCACAGAAGGCCCCTCTGATAGCACGTCCCCAGGCTTCATTCATTTCCTTATGTAACAGATAAGACTTCTACTGATTCCTCAAAACTTTCCTCCTAGAAATCCTGTTACTAGGCTGAAACACTGCTTTCCTAAGAGACGCTAGACTGTAAGTCAGCGCTGTTCATTTCCCTAATCCCATGGCCAAAGAGGTGAGAACAGGACTTCTTCACACCACTGGGAGACACGACTAACCGCTGCACTGCCACTAACAAAACTAACGATGCGACTGGCACTTGTGATCCTATTCGCCATTAGACAGGAACAGACTGTGGCTGCCAAGTCAACCCCGTGACCTTCTCCTGCAGAAAGCTTTCCTGCAAGTACCACTCAACACAATCAGTACCAGCAAAGTGGGCCCCACCAGTAGAAGATGCTGCACAGTTGCTCTCTGAGCCAAAAAATATGGAAAGGGAACTGAAGACTCCTTACCTGATGCGTAGCTGTTTTTCGGTGGAACATTTTTGCGAACAGGAAGTGTATTCGAGTAAGAGTCGCTCAGCTGCTTCTGAGGCTGGGAAGGAGATAAAGATTTGGGCTGTGCTGGCTTCATCTCAGACCAGTGGTTGTAATCGTCACTGTCTGGGCCTGAGACTCCGTTCATCACTGGCATGGTCTCTTGTGCTGACATTCGCTAAAGAGAAAGGAGAGGAGGGAAGGGAAGATGGGAAATGGCTTCATTAGGCACCCCACCGCAAGGTCCCACAAAGAAGGGATGCAGCTCCAGGGAACATGGTTCACTGTAGACCAGAAGCTTGGGCCTGCTGGGTTGTTTCCTACCTACCTGAAGCATAAAGCCCTGGGAAGAGCAGCAGAAGTCACCTCTATAGCATTTCATCCCTCCAAGCCGTCTTGCACTCAAAAAAATCTCTTCTGAGCTCTACTGCTCAGCTCATACCCTCCAGTATCAGACAGGAAGATCCTGCTCTGAAGAGTGTTTCATCACATGGGTTCACTCTAAGCACCTTCTCATGAGGTTACTGAGGGTACTTCAGTTTGGCCCCCACAAGAGCGCTCTGATCCAGGGACTTTCCCCATGGCCAGACAAGTCTAGCCCCCCACAACCCATCTGAGAGACCTCACTTCAGCCATTGCCTCCCTGGAGCTCAGCAAGCCAGGACACCTCTCAGGAAAGTACTGAAACTGGGCAAAAACATGAAGGTCAGAATGAGGCAGGCTGCTCCATTCCATATCAGACCAAGCCAGACTTTCCTCGTACCACAGAAGCATGAGCACTGAAATGCCCAACCTCTCGCACATCCTGTGCATTTATGACAGTTAATCGAAGGGCAACTTGCTGAGGACAATGGTGACACTGGCCAGGGCTCATCCCTCCAGCTTTACTCAGAAGGTCAGGACAACTTTCACTTCTTAGATACTTACTCCTACAAAAGGTGCCAGCTCCGGGGGGACAGGGAGAGGTTTGGCACCAGGAATGGGGTCAGAGATGATGAGGTTTGATTTGGATGTAGACAGAGGGCTGGGCATGATGGTGCCATTGCTGCTGGCAGCCATCTGCTGCATCAGTTGTATAGCACGGTCTGGGATCTTGTTGGGATCCGAGCACGACTGCTGCCACAGCGGAAGCTTCTGGGTCAACATTTCTTTCCCCTGCAACATAGAAGGCAAAAACATGCATAAGGGCACAGGAGCCTGTAGCAAAACCCAGCCCAGAAGGGAGATGCTGTGGAGAGAAATGTCAGTTTTCACCCTAAACAGAAGCGGGTGTGCACAGAATGGCAGGTAGGGAGATTCAGGGCAGGATGTTTTGCCCTTTGATGTCCAACCATAAGCACGTGCAAGGACAAGGAGGGAGGCTGGGAATCTGCCATTGCAGGTTCACGAGACGAGGACAGACACAGCTGTCAGAAGGGTCTAAGCAAAGCTGCTCCTGCCTTGGGTGGCAGAGGGGCCTTCCTGGCCCCATCGCAGCCAGCCACGAGCCCCGGTGCTCTGCATCCCTCACCTGACCGGCATCAGCACTACTGCGGCTATCTGGAGCTGGCCTGACTCGTCACATTTGGACAGCAAGCAAGACTGATCTATTCCTCTGTGCGTGGCACAAACAAGATAAAACACGGGGACTTACCCTTTTCAGGCTCTGATGGCAGCTGAGCCAGGAAGGTGTCATGAAAAATTTAAAGGACAGAAGGAAAAGGTAATTTGTTTCCCCAGCTCGTTCTGAGATAGCCTCTGTGTGGCAGCTTGAAGAACAGATGAGCCAGAGGAAGCCAGGCGGGGAGCTGGGCCACGCAGAGGACAGCACGGTTCCAACAAGGGAAGACGTAAAACCCGAACGAAGGCTTGGTCAAGGGATTCGCCGCGGGAGCAGCACCGCTCTGTTATTTGTGCCATGGTGACAACAGCTACCGAGGAAAAGGAAGACGACAGCTCCTGGCGCGCTGGAGGCACAGCCAGGCACTGGGGCTGGGTTAACGGGGAGTCCCGTGACGGGGCCCGTGGTGCGCGCTGACCACCGCTCCCGCTCTGGAGCCGAGCTTCCCCGCTGCGCGACCCAGCGCAAC